TTTGTACTTTCTGTGTAGCTTCATCGCTAGCTACACTGATCAAATTGGTACAAATACTATTCTTTGCTTTACTCAAGTCGTTGATGAGCGAGATGTAACTCTCAACAGTCGTAATTTTTAATTCAGACATGACTGTTGGGATGTTACAATGTGTTTCGATGTATTCCATGAAATAAGACTTTTCTAGTTATTATACTATATATATACCATTGACATGTTGAATCAATTTATATATTATAAATTAAATTATAATATATATAATAATAATATATATATATAATAATAAATTATATTAAAATATAAATACTATATAAGTATAATATATATAATATAATAGTATAATGCATATAATATAATAATATTATAAATAAATAATAAAAAATTTCAAATTCTAATAGAATAACTTTAAATTATAAATAACTAAAAAATGAAGAGCAATGAGCGCACAGTCCATCAACCATCAACGAGGGAATCAACTTTTCAAAGACGGTCAATATGAGGAAGCGATTGCAGTCTTTTTACAATGTCACAAAGAGGAGAAAGTGAAGAAGGGAGCGTTCTATTCGAACATTTCGTTATGTTATATGAAGCTTGGGCAACCGCAAGAAGCATTAAAATATGCGCGGATGTGTGTATCAGAGACTCCTGATTTTGATAAAGGGTATTTCCGGTTGTATTACGCAGCCCTCGAGACCAATCAACTTGGGACTGCATTAATAGCCGCGCAGTATGCACCTGACCAATTAGACATCAACAAATTGTGGGAGGATTATTTCATGTCGACTATTTTTGAAGTGAAGGAGATCAGTGAGACGCTTGGGAAAGGAGTTTTTTCAAAGAAGGAACATCAAGTGAATGAGATTATATATACGGAGACGCCAGTAATAGCATCTGCGAAGTATAAGAACTATAAGAACTGTTGTTTATATTGCTTGAAGGCTTTATTTCCGAATGAAAGTAATACATATACTTCAGTGTTTAATACTAACGTGGTGAAAGGAGTGAAGTGTAAGTGTGGATATGTCTACTGTTCTAAGAAATGTCAAGACTTGGACGTCGGACATCAACTTGTGTGTGGGAAGTTGAACAAAGTTGTCTCATTTTGCACAGAAAGGTGTGTGTCGCACCCACTGACGATCACTAAAATGTTTGCGAAAGTCCTCAGCGCGACGTATAGAGAACCGACGATATATCCCTTTGTTGTGTTCCACGCACAACCCCTTGTGAAGTTTGATATGACGGTAGAAAAGATCTTTGTCGAGATCTTTGGAAACAAATTGGAGACTTTTCAAGACTTTGGAGGGTGGAAGTATGTCTATAGAATCATGTCTTCAGTATTGAAGTATAATGCGTCGACGATACTTCCATTAAATGCAATTCAAATGTTGGCAACAGACCCTCAAAAGAAAGTGTTGAGTAAAGAAGAAGCACTGAACTGGGAAGTCTCCAAGTTCAGTGTAGAAGGGGAAGGTCTTTATAAATATTTAAATACTCTCAATCACTCGTGCGACCCAAATTGCGTCTTGGCATGCACTACAGACGACTTCAAACTGTCGTTGATCGCATTGAAAGATATCAAAGCTGGAGAGGAACTTACTATAAGTTATATCGACAACTCAATGAATAAAGAAACAAGGCTGAAAACACTTATGGATCAGTACAACTTCGATTGCAAGTGTAAGAAGTGTTGTGGCAATTGAGTGCAATTCGGTTGAGTTCTGAATAACCAAAAATAACTAGGAATTTTATTATACTATACTTTTACTAATTGTTATTAATAAAATTTTAAATACTATACTTATACTAATAATTATTAATAAATATAATAAAACTATAAAAATACTAATAATTATTAAATAAAAAATACTATAATAATACTAATAATAACTAGTAAATGTTATATATACTATACTCATACTAATAATTATTAAAAAATATAATAATACTATAAAAATACTAATAATTACTAATGAATTTAATAATACTATACTAATATAAATATTATTAATAAAAAAAATGATACTATAATAATACTAAAAATAACCATCAAATTAAACTAATAAATTCAAATGATGAGTATCAGTCTTGTAGTTCTATTTGTCATCACAAACAAAACATGTTCAAGTCTGCCACTCACTCGAACGTTGGACGTCTTTTTTGAAGGGACGTGGGTCATAGCAGATCCTTTAAAAGGTGCGATGTATCACATTTCTATTAAACCGATCAATGGGATCAACGGGTATATTGCTAAGTTTAGTAAACCGCCTCCTTGTTTTTCACAGAACTATAAACTAACATTCAATAACCTTCATTTAAACATCACAACACTGTCAAGTCAATTCATCACAGCTGTGCATTTCGTGAACTTCAAAAACACCATCGTTGGCAAATCCGTGATGATCCTTTGTGGAAACGTCACAGAATACACCGTCACACTATTACGGTCATCAACACCCACTATAACTATTTCGCATCGATCAACTGTTAATATCACTCGAGGGTATTTGGTCGCTTCAAAACTCCTCACAGACTCTCCGACAGACACTTTCATTCAAAGACACTTCCTTTTCATTCTTGTCATCCTTCTCTTTGGTTTGTTTTTCGTCGTTATTTATTCTTTTAATTTAACGTGTGTTTTATAATTAACGAGTATTTTATTAAAACAACTCGTTAAATAGTACATGTATTTACTAGTAAAATGAAATAAAAAGAACTAATTCATTACTATCCTAAAAAGATAAAAAAAGCTCGTTAATTTTATATCATAAAGAACTGAACACCAGTTTTTACTCTATTCAGTCACTCGTTACCGCCATTCACGGCTTGAAAGTTGAATGTGTTGAAATACATGAATTAGTAATGTCACTTCTTCAACGACTGCTGCGCAAGTTTCCTCTCAACTGCTCTGAACGAGGCTTCTATCACCTTCGTTTGCTCATCTAATTTACTCACTGTTAATTCCATTGTGTCTAACGCATTCTCTATCTCACTGATGTACTGGCGATACTCTTCCAGCTGTGAGTCTGCTCGTTAAGACTTGGGTATCTTGTATGGTTCTTGTATAATTAAATGAACTATATTTAAAAAATGGTATTTGATAATAAAAATATAATTTATTTTATTAATTAAGTACAAGGTATATTTATAATTTTAAAAACGATTGATTAACTAGAATTGGTATGGTTTATATTATAGTAAAATAAGTTATAAATATACTAAAAGACAAACAACTCTGTTCGATAAGTTCGACACTTTTTGTGTTACAACTGATGATATCAGAGATCTGGTCAACGCGCTTACTTGCCTCCTCATTGACGTCTGTGTAAAATTTAAAATCTTGACGGGCCATGTTAAGTTCATTTGTTATAAGACGTGTAAAATCGGAAGAAAACTTCTTTGCAGAGTCGTCCAATAGTTGTGTGTTACTTGGTTGTGACATCGTTGATTGTCTTTTTATTTTTTTAGTTTCTTTTTAGTTTGGCAATAATTAATCAGTTCATTTAGGATTGAATAGTTATATTTAGTTATATTTTTTAAACAAAATAAAGTGCCAAATTACTAGAATTATTTCCTTATAGTTATATTTATATATATTGTAATAAATAATTTTAGCTATAATATATAATAAAATTAAATTATAATTTGGTACTTTTAAATTAATAAAATATAATAAATAAACTAGAATAAAATAGTAAATGACAATTAAAATATTTTGTTAAATTGAACATAATACACAATCAATTGATTACGTGAGATTGATTTTGGCGAAACAAGCGAACATAAGTGCGCAAAAGTTGAAAGCAATTTACAAGAACAGTCGAAAAAAATTGAAAAGTCTCACATATCCTTCTTTTCAAGTTTTTCGACTATCTCACATATTCGTTGTCTCTCATTCTCAGCCTCTTTCTGGACAAAGATAGGCTTAAGATCGTAGAGACGCCTGGAGGGACTACACGCCATTTTTCTGATGAAATAGAGGACATAGCAGCCACAGTCTACAAAATTTGTTTGTTGAATACAGTTGATGGAGTACTCCTTCATATCCTCGCTGATGTTTTTGATTTCCTTTTTGCAAACTTTAAACTCGGCAGTGACAAAGAGTTGAATGATGATTTTTAGCCGGTCAGGAATGAATTTTCGGCCCAACGAGTCGATGATCAAACAACATGGTGCTTCTTTCATGACATCAACCTTTTGGGGGTCTTCAGTCATCACAAGACTCTCAAATCCCTCGACGCCATTGAAACACAACACAATCAACGAGAAGTGTGAACTTGTGTGAAGAGGAAGAAAGATGAACTTGTATTTAAAAATGTCGGCGTCTCCAAGCCAGTGCCGTATTTTCTTGTATTTCAAGAAAAACTCGTTGAACAGCTTTTGGTCATCAAAGTGTTCGTTGTTCTCTTTTGCCTCCTTTTGAAGGGCTTTTTCAAGGTCAGAAAAGTACCCCTGGAGCTTCGTCAGAAACAACACCGACATGAAGAGACACTTCCCCTTGTACTCTGTGGGGACTTCTTCGTTCTCAATCCATTTTGAATAAAAGTCGATGATTGTGTCGTTGATCATATCGTTGTTTTTTAAGATGTCCAAGTCATGTTGCTCGAGTGTGATTTGATTGTTCTTTTCTTCGTAACAATAATACGTCTTCGACGTGGTTTTCCTCTTCAGGCCGTCGTCGTCTTCCAAGACCAAGTATTCTTTCGATCCATCGACTTCCGTTTTATACAAATCAGTTGATCCCACTGGTTCGCATTTTGTTTGTTCTTCCAAGACAATTTGTGTTGGTTTGTCGATGTCCACCACGTTATTCGCATTTCCTTCGGTCACCTTTTTTGTCTTTTCGAATTTCTCTTTCTTTGGTCCAAAGTGTTTAAATTCAAGAGGGTTAAACCGGAGTTCCGATTTCCCCGTTTTTACTGGTGGATTTCGTCGTGAGTAAGTACTTTTTCCTTCTTTTTTTGGTGTCGTTCGTTTTGGTAGTACTGATGGTTTTAACACTGGTCGCAACAAATTGTCATCGTCCATTTCAACTGCCATTTTCAGACTTGATTTTTGGTCTAAACTGTCGACTTTATCTTCGTCTGAAAAAGTGTTATTCTTTTTCAGTTCTTTCGACTCTTTTTGTTTTTTTGGGGTTTTTTTCTGTGGTGATGTGAAAGTGAAAAATTGTGGTTTAATGTCGACGACTGTTGGCGGCTCGCTTGTTATTTCTTTGAGATGAATTGAATTGATTTGCTTGATTTGCTCATCAAAAGTGACACTTTGTTTTTTCGTTTTCTTCGAAGGGGATGGCGGAATGTTGTTGAGATTATATGTTCCTCCTTCTAATGAACTCATTATGTCTTTCAGTTTCTTTTTTAAATACCCTCCTCAAACAAACAAATATCTTAGTCATTCTGATTCTAACGTTTCACTTTTTTTATTTAAGATTTATTTTTTTCGTTGTCAATTCTTTTTTTCTCTTTTGTTTATTTAGTATAATTTATGATACATTTTATTATAAAATATTATACTTACAAATTTTCAAAATTCAAAAACAGTTCAAGGAAAAATGAGAATTCCTTTTTTTTACACACACCATTATATTCCGAGTGAACGCTTCAGTGATTTATGTGATTGTAAAAATGAGAGCCACGAGTGAATGGATTAGAACTTGTAGTTCATGATAAATGAGTTGCACGCAAAACAGAAGAGACGGGCTTCTACTGTTTCTCCCTCTTCAGACTTTTTAGCCAAAAACGCTTCGACCTCATCGAGTGGAAGAACATGAACAGTGACTTCCTCCGATGGTTCGAGTTCTTGAACTGGGTGTTGATTGACCTCAGCGTCACCATTCACCAACAGTGAGACGTATTGGACGTATGTGTCACTCTCAGCGGGGGCGGCTGCTACTCTCTTCGATACGTGTAAAACCTTTTCAGCAACATACCCCGTCTCTTCCTTTAATTCTCTGAACGCTGAAGACTCGACTGTTTCGTGGGGATCAATAAGTCCCGCGGCAAGTTGATAAACTTTGCTATCTATTAGTATATAATATATTATACTATATAGAATAGTATACAAATTATAGTATATATAATAATAAATATAATAATAAATATAGTATTAATATAGTTTAGATTACAACCAAGTAACAAACGCATTAACAGGCACTCTAAACTCTCTGATAAAGATGAGGGAAGTCGGCTTTTTAGAAATTGGGTAGTAAATTATTGGGACTAATTCTACTGCGTCGACATCTAAGCCAGAAAGCTTCTTGGATTTGCGAGAGATACATTCCCAATGTTTAATGCCTTTTGGTGTTTGGTAGTCTAAACATTCAAAGGACAAAAACCTCCCGTCGTGAAGGACGTTGTGTTTTGTCACATAGAAATCTCGT